AATCCAAGATACATTATGGAGTATTAGTGATCATATTTTTTTCTATATCTTGAAACATTTTGCTATTTCATCATCCTAGGAATTGGTTCATCATTATTCATCAATTATTTCCAAAGATGTTAAAAAAGGCTAAAATAATAATAATAATGGAATTGCCTAGACGGATACTACAATAGTTTGCTATTATATTGCCCAAAGTATTGCATCATCTTTCAAGAAGGTATGTAAGAAGACTAGAAACATCATCTTTGTAGTCTATTTTAGCTTTCAGGGAATATAGTTGAAAAGATAGACGTTTTCATTTTCTACTCATAATGGCAAAGAGGAGAAAAGTAATAAACTAAAACAAAATATTAGATGAATCTGAAGATGAATGCAAAGAAACAAGTAGCTCTATAGACTCTAATGATAATGAAATTGATTCTATAAGTGAAGTCTCAGGTGATGATAGTCTAGAATATTTTCTCAAACTCAAGAAGAATATATTTCTCAGGACAGGAAGGGAACATGGCATTAGCATCCAGTTAGTTATTCAATAGGTAGGACTTCCTTACTCATACTTTGCAACAAGAAGCTGGATCATCTGTTCTGCTAAATGGACACGTAACAGTATGCTTTCATCTTGTGATGTTTATCTACCACATTTTATCTGGTATGGTTTGTAAGTGGACAAATGCTGAAGGCAGGTGTATATATGAAAGTTATTGGAAGGAAACAGATGATGTAGAAATGAAAAAATTCATTGGATTGACCATTCTAATTAGTGCTTATAAATCTAACAATGAAAATGTTTTACAATTGTGGAGCAAAAACTCCTTTCTCTCTTTAACAAAATTATGTGCTTTCAAAGGTTTTAAATATTCTTCAGGTATTGCATTCTGACAACACAAGGGCAATATAATCAGTGAGAATGTGTTGGCAGAAGAGAGTGGAGGTGCCTATAGTTGCCACTATAGCTGATGAATAGCTGTTGGCCCAGAATGTTGTATCTCTTAAAAATAATGGAGTTTTCCTCATAACTTAGAGGTCAAAATCAGATTGCAGTGTAGCAAGGACTACTATTTGTAGTAGTTTTATTTTAAGAGAATGTAAAAATAAACAAGCATAGAACCTCGCTTTAAATTACCATTTAGCTTAAAGCCAACTAATATACTTGGTAAACTATCAGTAAGACGGCTCAGCTCAGCTGGCGCTCTTTCTGGGAAGCCCCCTTCTGTGTTCCCATACCTCCCCTTAGACCTTTGGAAAGAGCACAGCCTCACGGTTTTACTTAACTTTGAGGGGGCATGAGGTCAGCATCTCTCAATGCCATAAATACTTGTGTAAAGCAGTTATTTGTATAAAAGTCATATTTATATGACATCACAAGAGCCTGTCTCAAAAGGAAGGACATTTTTTCTCCCATTTAAGAAAAAAATGCAAACAAAACTTTCCCTCCCATAAAAGAAAACTCACCAAACAAGCAAACAAATTGTCATTTTGGTTTTGTGACTTAATTAGCCAGTTCTCTCTAGAAGAGAAATGCTAACTGTTCACTGCTGATTGTTAAGCAGCCTCTTCGAGATGGATTTGTATTGTCATCCGGATGGAATTTAAATTCTTACTTCATTAAGTTTGGGTGGTATAAGATCAGCTTTCAGGCTAGAGGGCATGGCCGGTCAATACCATCCTAATTTCCCAAGGATGTTCCAGTTTCATATGTACTAGTCTGTTGTCCACCGATACTCAGTTATAGATGTTAAACCTATGTCCAGAGATTGTTTTTTGTTTAGCCAGTGTTTTGATAGTTTAGTATATAGAGGTGAGTAGTTTTGTATACATGCCTGTGTGAGAGGTAGTAAGAAGCTATTTGTCACAAATGCCTTTGCTTCCTACAGTAATCCTACTTAACCACCTCCCTCTTGAACACTTCGGGGTTCAGTGGCATCTGAAGCAGGCCCTTAATGGAATGCATGTCTGTTGTTACGATGGCATGGTACCTTAGGTGTATCAAACTAGCCATGCATTTTCTGTGCAGAGCAAGGCTTTTAGATAATATAAAATAGAATACTTACCTTTTGGTGGGGTGGAGTTAGAAGGATGCTTAGGAAATGGTGAAGGTGAGAACCAAGAGGAGTGATGAAGGAACTACTTGGTACATACTTGAGGTAGAGTCTACTCATGTAGACTGATTACAGTTTGTTCCTCCCCAAGCAGAAGATCAGTAGTAGGGCTCTCTCCACCCCCGCCATGTTCCCCGTGTACATACTCTTTTCACCTTGTTTTCCCACCTTGGTTTGGGTTTTTTTTAATTGGAATATTGGGTGAGTTCTTAATGAATGCTCATAATATTAAACAAAAAATATAATAGATTATTGATTTTAGTAAAGTACCCTCTTTTTCCAGTTTTGAAAATCAATATTATTGAGGTATAATTTACATATAATAAAATGTAGTTCAAAATTTTCTGTGGTAACATTCGAATACTGACTACTGATTTTTGCTACCGAAAGTAAATATTTATACACTAAAAAAATAACACTGGAAAGGCAAGAAGGAGCCCAAAATAGTGGGTAAAAGAATGGGCAAGTTGAGAATAGAAGAGTGTGTAAACCAAGATTTTTCACTTTAAGGAGGAAGCACCATGTTTAATTTAATATGTTAACAGTAAATGTAAGGAATAAATGTTTAATTATATTTTTTAAATTGGCATTTAACTAAGGAGTCCAAAGATACCAAGATATCTCCCTTGATTGGTTTTTAAAATTAGGTTTATTGGGTTATATTTTGCATACAGTAAAATTCACCCTCTCTAAGTGGACGGTTCGATGAGTTTAGACAAATGTGTATAGCAGTATAACTGGCACTAGGGTCCAGAGAGAGAATATTCCCATTACTCCAGAAAGTTTCCTTTTGCCTTTATGTAGTCAGTTCCCTCCTTCTACCCCTAGCCCTGAAAACCGCTGACCTCTTTTGTCACTATAGTCTTTTCTTTAGAATGTCAGGTAAATGGAATCATACAGTATGTAGTGTTTTATGACTAGCTTCTTTCACATAGCATAATGCTTTTTAGACCCATCCATGTTGTTGGGTATATCACTGATTTTTCCCTTTTATTGCAGAGTAGTATTCCATTGTGTGAACATACCACGACTTCTTTATCCACTCACCACTTAATGGAGTTTGGGTTGTTTGTATTGAGGGCTATTAAGAATAAAGTGACTATGAACAAGTTTCAGGTGCAAGTTTTTGTGTGAACACATGCTTTCATTTCTCTTGGGTAACTACCTAGGAGTGGAATTGCTGAGTTCTATGGTAACTGTATGTTTAATTTTGTAAGAAACTAGCAAACTGTTATTTAAAGTGGCTGTACCACTTAGCATTCTTATTGGGGTTGTATGAGAGTTCCAGTTATTTTATATCCTTGCTGATCTTTCTTAAAAATTTTAGCCATTTTAGTATGTATTTAGTAGTATCTCATGGTGTCATTTTAATTTACAGTCCCCTAATAACTAATGATATTGAGTATCTTTTTATATACTTATTGACCATTTATATATCTTTGATGAAATGTCTGTTTAAGTCTTTTATCCAATTTTTTATTGGGTTTTTTGTCTTGTTATCGAGTTGGAAGAGTCCTTTATTTATACTGGGAACAAGTCCTTTATCAGATAATGTGCTTTGCAAATATTCTCTGCCAGCCTGACGTTTCTCTATTTTCTTTACAGCATCTTTTGAAGAACCACATTTTGACAAAACCCAGTTTATCAATTTTTAATTTTATGGTTCATGCTTTTTGCATTCTATGTAAGAAATATTTGTTTAACTTAAGGTCATAAAGATTTTCTCCTGTTCTCTTTTAGGAGTTTTATAGTTTTAGCCTATACATCTAGGTCTATGATCTGCTTTGAGTTAATTTTTATATATGCTGTGAGGTAAGGGTCTAGGTTCTTTATGTTTTATTTTACATATTTTCAAGTACCATTTGTTAAAAAGATAGATCCTCTCTCTAATAAATTACCTTGGCACCTTTGATGAAGATGAATTGACCGTACATGCGTGGGCTACTTCTACATACTATTCTGTTCCATTGATCTGTACCTCTATCCTTATAGCAGTAACAAACTTGTCTTAATAAATTCAGGTTTTTGAAATTGAGTAATGTGAGCCCTCAAACTCTGGCTCATTCTCAAAATTGTTGTGACTATCCTAGGTCCTTTTCATTTCCCTATAAATTTTAAAATCAGCTTGGCCATTTCCACAAAGAAAGCTCTCCAATCCCTTGACTATTCATGTGATTAATAATAATAATATGTTTACTAGTATCAGTCCTTCTTAGTGGTAGTAGAACAAATCATCCTTGATCACTGTTATGTTTCTTTGTTTTGCAGTGTTTAATTTGGCCTTTTATATCTGTATTTATAAAGGAGATATTTGCTTTTATTTTTTTTCCCCTTTTTTTAATGATATCTTTACCTGTTTGGGTGTTCAGTGTTGTGGTAATTTTATAATATGAATTGTAAAGTAATCACTGTTTTCTGTTTCCCTAAAATAGTTATGTAGTAAGGCAATTAAATATTCCTTAGGAATTTGCAAAACTATTTCATTATTTTTTATGATTATGGTCTGTTCAAGTTTTCTCTTGTTTTTTTTTGTTTCTTGAACGGATTTCTATTTTCCTAGGAAATCAACTATATTCAATTTTTCAAATGTACCATTATAGGGCTGGATATGGTGTCCGTTTAATGCTATTAAAAATTTCTCAGATTATTTAGGAGAACTTTTTTAAAATTCTAAATGATTAGGGTTTCATTTTTATTATGTTATAGTCCAGGAAGGTACCCTATCCTATTGCTACTGTTTTGGAGTTAACTGAGGCTTTTTTTTTTTATTTACGGCAATATTTAAGATCTGTTTTTGTAACCAATTCATGGATACTTAGCAGGACACACTGGCTTATTATTTTATGATAGTGTTCAGATCCTCTATGTCTTTATTTTCCATTTTCTCTTTATTTTCAGGGCAAGTTTATTCGGATCAACTTTGATGTAACTGGCTATATCGTTGGGGCCAACATTGAAACATGTATCCTTTTTCATAATGGCATAATTCAAAATAAAGTATCATTTAATCTTCCTACAGCCTCAAGGCAACCCTTTGTGATATCACTCCCATTATCAAGGTGATAAAACTTAAGCCCAGAGAGATTGTGACTTGGTCAAATACTTTCAAGGACTGAATAGTAACTCCAAAGTGGTGGGGTTTTTTCATTGTTTTTGTTTGTTTACAACACCAGGTCATAAGTATTTCCATGCCTGGGGGAAGCGGAGAGTCCCACTGAGGTGGGAATTACCTGTATATCAACCAGGAAATGTCTGTGTGGTATAAAACCTTTGGGTGAGGGCTGGCCAAGTGGCGCGTTGCTTAAGAGCTGACTTGGGATGCCAGCTCTGAGCAGCACCCCGGTTCAGATCCCACGTATGAGGGTCAGTGACACTGCCCTCTACGGCTGAGATGCTGAACAACAGCTCGACCTGGAGCTGGGCTGCCGTGAGTTGCCAGCGATGGGCATAGGCTGCAGCCCCTGCTGCAGTGGGTTGCCATGGGCTACTGGGTGTAGCCAGCGGCCAGCAGCCGCTGTGAGCAGCCGTCCAGAAGCCGGTGACTATCTGCCTCACCCGGGAAGAGCACAATGATGGTGCCAACTTGGGCCAGTGAAGCAACGTCCTTGAAGAACAAAAGGACAGCAACTTGTCTGTTCCCCTTCCCCCAATTCCCCAATAAAAATCTTTTTAAAAAAAAAAACAACCTTTGGGTGAATACCGTTATATTGAACTACTCATCAGTTATTGTTGTTAGCCTATTTTTTACCATCTACTTCTGATATGCATAGGGTAGGCATGTACCCATTGAAACAAGCCTTATAAAAGTACAGAGTTAAAGCACTTTAAGTTAGTGTTAAACAGAATAAAACTAGAGGGAAAAATGTCAAATACATAGAATAGTCCTAAGAAATGTCACATGAATAGCAGAATGGCCTAAAGAAATGATAGGCCTATGTAGAATTAATTTGAGTAAAGAGATAATAAAATAGAAATGATTCTGAATTGATAGTGAGCCAATTAGGAAGGCTACAGATGATAATTCTCTGATATTTGTTAGAATAATCTTCAGTGATAGAAATCCATTGTTTCTATCCCTCTGGTAAAGGATAAATCAAAATGCCTGTTAATTCAGAACTATGTTTTATGTCTCTAAATACACTCAGAGCCAGAAAACACAAGAAACACTTGAAAATGACAGAGGAACAGATCTAGAGTTTCTTCATATTAGTCTGCTGTTCATATGAATATTTTTCACCAAGTGGGAAAGATGTGTTTGCGATAGTGTGACTTAAAATTTAGGCTGTTTGGCACATACAGAATTAATTCAGTTGGTGGCTCGAGGGAAGGAAGTGGCAATCATCTTCCAACGCAGTGAAACTGAGCTGTGAGAGGCCAGTGTGACTGTTGACCCAGAGACGCACCAGGAACAGCAAGACTCGGTGGACACAGAACCTGAACAGGTTTCAGTCTGCACTCCGAATACACAAGCAGGCATGCAGTATTCTGAACACAGGCGCTGAAGCTGACGGGGGGTGATGGGGCCCAGGCAGTGGTTGGAAGTACTAGCAGCAGTGGGTCTCAAGAGCAGCGATGGGAAGACCAGTGGTTCACCTAGTCAGAGCTATCTCGGGACATTAGAACATTTACACAAGGTGATGGATGGCAAGTGGGTAGCACCACTGATATGAGGCTTTCTATAAAGGGGGCCCTTAGGGGTGGGTAGCACAGTGGTTAAGCACATACATTGTGGAGTCCAACCAAGTTTTGATTCCTACCGCTACCATGTACTAGCTTTGCTATTTGAAGTAACGTCTTTATGCCTTGGTTTCCTTAATAATTTCAATAAGATAAGGGCTTTCCAAGCTTTAAACAACTCAACTCCAGTTTTTATAGATTCTTAAAATTCCTTGTATAGTGCTGTGTTCTTTGAATATAATTCAAATTAGGAGGAGGGTAGGGTGGAGTGGGGTGGGGGAAACACTCTGAGTTTTAGAGTTCCAGTTCCCTCCCAGCCCAGTGAACCTAGTAGATTAGTGAGAAACGTAAGTTGTATACATTTTCTTTTTTCACTTACAAAATTTAGCTATTAACAATGGTTATTTGCAAGATAGTTTATGTATATCAGAGAGAGAACATTTTACAAATTTGTATAGACATGGAAAGAGGGCCATCTTTTCAATTTAATCCTTAACCATCTTTGCTCAGACCTTCTGGAAAAATCTCGTGCTGTTCGTCAAGCAAAAGATGAACGTACTTTTCACATCTTTTACCAGTTGTTATCTGGAGCAGGAGAACACCTAAAGTGTAAGTTACAAAGTTTTTTATTATATTCATTTGAATATCTTTTTTTAAACTTTGAAAGAGAGACATTTGGGGAAACAGTAGTTTCATACACACACTGAAATTCTAGCTGGTTTAATTGTAAAATGAAATTGAACTTCTGTGCTGTGGGATATTAGTGGCAGGTATATGGGTGGTGATTTATTATCTCATCATTTTAGTTCTTTTAAAGAAAATTTAAATTAAAGACATGCGTTTTTACAAAGTTCTGTTTCAACACTTATCAATATAAAAGTAAGAAAAAATAAATTTACTTAATAAAATTAAGTTGAATAAATATTTTTATTCCTAGCTTTACAACTGAATATATATGTTACACTTCCACTAGTACTAGAAAGAGGCTATGGAGGATTGTCATTTGTCTTGTCATAAATTACAAGGACTGGAAGTTTGGGATTGGGCAGAGTAAAATGTAGACTTCTGGGTCAGAAATTTGCTGGATCAAAAGTATATGAGGGAGAAGAGAAGATACACAACTTTCTGATTTCTTTTTCTTCTGAGTCTCAAATTCAGTGCTGCTTCTATATGATTTTTACATCTATTATCTAGATATCACAATCTATACATACACAGTAATACTTTTCTCATCGGAGGTAGGCTTTTGCTAACCACAGACATTTGTAATAGCATTGAACCCAGAAATTAATTAGAAAAAGACCCGCAAGGAAAAAAAAAAAGCAAAAAATAAATAGAGCCAACAAGAAACTAACAATTCAAGATTATACAGTATGTGATGCTGAAGAGACGATAACCCTCAGGCTTTCAGACTGGTGATAACTCTGCAATAGGAATGATAAAAAAAATTTTTTTTAAGTCAGTGTTAAAAAGAAAGATATAGAAAAAGAAAACAGTCGTTACCCAGCAGAAGTTAAATGTGATATAGATTAGAATTAAGGAGTAGGAGTGACCAGCAGAAATCCTCTGCTGGAGAGCATTAACAAAGAAAGCAGGAAGCACATGATAACATCTCTTATATGGATAAATAGCCCTATTTTGATCCCTCCTAAGAATACCCTTCTACTCTCAACACATTTATCAAAAGACTAAGTTAGGTTCTGTCTTAACTCATGGACCCTGAAGTACAAGTAGTCAATGGGGGTACCCATTATAATATTCTGCCATTGTACTACCGTATTTCCCCATGTATAAGACACACCCTTTTTTGAAAAATTTGGGGTCTAAAAACTGAATGCGTCTTATACAGAGGTTGTAGATTTTTTTACTTGCATTTCCCGCTGAGAACGAGGCAATATATGAAGACAGTGATTCGTCATCAGACACAGATGAGGACAAGTTAGTGGTTGGGAGTTTTGACAGTGATGAGCAGTTGTATGAATTTTATGATGAATAAAACTTGAGTTCAGTAACTTTATGTGATACATTTTTTTTTCAAATTTCAGGCCCCAAAATTAAGGTTTGTCTTATACATGGGAGCATCTTACACATAGGGAAATATGGTATATGTTGCATGTCACTCTTCAAAGCAAATGTACCACTGAACAAACTGGCTTGGAGAAAGGGTTTCTGATCGGGGCATTGGCTGTGCTCAGGACTTGCCTTGTCCTTATTCTGCACCTTCTATTCCTCAGTCTTTTAACTTACGTGCATGTAGACTTTGTATCGACTCCGTAGTGTTTGCTATAAGATAGGAATATACAATATGGGTTTAAAAGTGTTCCCCCTGGGCCAGCTGAGTGGCACATTGGTTAAGAGTTGGCTTGGGATGCCAGTTCTGAATAGCAGGGCCCCGGTTCAGATCCCACATGCGGGCCAGTGACGCTGTGCCCTCTACAGCTAAGATGGTGAACAACAGCTCAACCTGGAGCTGGGCTGCTCTGAGTCGCTGGCAACAGCATAGGCTGCAGTGGGGCTGGCCAGCAGCAGGCGTGCGCTTTCATGAGCTGCCGTGAGCCGCTGTGAGCGGCCGTCCAATGGCCAGCGAGCAACTGCCTCACCCGGGAAGAGCGCAATGATAATACCAACATGGACAAGTGAAGCGACGTCCTCCACAACTAGACTGAAGAACAAAAGGACAGCAACTTGTCTGTTCCCCTTCCCCAATTCCCCAACACTGTGCCACTCCTCTAATTCCCCAGTAAAATCTTCAAAAGAAAAAAAAAAAGTTTTTCCCCCAAAGATGGCTAAAATATTTAAATCTGAAAACAATGAGGTTTAGTTCTCTGGAAAAGTTACATCATTTCCCCACTATCCAATTTCAAAGATATCATATAAGCCACTGTGCCAAAAACTCCATGTGAGATTTTTGCAGTTTACATCATGGCTTTCCTTCCTTGATACAGATGACAGAAAACTGTATGTTTGTATATTTAACATAACTATAGAAAGAAAAAAAACACGGTGTAAAAAGTCTGTGGTGGCGATGGATTGAGTGGTGAGCAACGGTTCTCCTAGGATATCAGTCCAATCTGAATGTGGTAGATTCAGTCTGTTAATGACCGTTTATTAAATTGTATTTCATTTTATTTTTTTAGCTGATTTGCTCCTTGAAGGATTTAGTAACTACAGATTTCTCTCCAATGGCTATATTCCCATTCCGGGACAGCAAGACAAAGATAACTTTCAGGAGACAATGGAAGCGATGCATATAATGGGCTTCTCTCACGAAGAGATTCTGTGTATGTGGGATTTCTCTAAGATTCTGATACTTATTTAAATAAGACATAAACTGGGGGTAAATAACCTAAACTAGAAAGTGACTGAGAAACTAATGAGAACTGCCTGTAATTTTATGAAATCCTGAGATTATATCTTACTGAAAAGTTTTGTATAGCTAATTTTTAGCACAAAATAAATTAGAATATGTCTTCTATATTTTGATGCAATATGTTTATTAATTTTTTTCTTTCTATATAAATATAAAGCAATGCTTAAAGTAGTATCTTCAGTGCTTCAGTTTGGAAATATTTCTTTCAAAAAGGAGCGAAACACTGACCAAGCGTCCATGCCAGAAAATACAGGTAAACTGATGCATGCTGATTTTATTTCTAATAGATAGTTTGTTGTTGTGTTCTCCAAGAACATATCTCAGTGCAAGCATAAAAAGCACTCGTGGAGCATTTCCATGAGACTCTCAAGAAAAGAGTGGCAGCCCTGCGTGCCTCCGTGAGGGCCTGATTTCAGAAATGAGAGAGGAGGATGCATGTGGGGCAGAAAGTGGCACTGGAGACGGCCATAGCACTGAGGCGTTAGGAACTAGGGGACAGGAGGAGACATAAGCTGTGGAGACCATGCAGTTCATCTGAAAGGAAGTGGTACCTGCTAAGTTTTAGCCAGTTTTTCCCTTGCCAGAAATATAGGCCCAGTCTTTGTGTTTCGTGGCCTTGACACTTTTGAAGAATAGTGGCCAGTTATTTCAGGAAATGTCCCTCAGATTGGGTTTGTCTGATGTTTCCTCCTGATTAAATTCAGGTTATGCATTTTTGGTAAGAATATCACAGACGTGATGTTGCATCCTTCTTGGTACATCGTATCAGGAGGCTTATCGTGTCAATATGTCTAATTATTGGGTGATGTTAACTTTGATTACTTGGTTAAAGTAGCATCTATCAGGTTTCTCCACTATCAGATTACTGTTTCCCCTATAAGTATTTGGGGGAGCTAGAGAGGGAGGGAGACACTTTAAGACTAAGGAAATCCTGTTTCTCACCAGACTCTTTGACCTACTAGTTTTAGCATCCATTGATGATTCTTACCTGAAACAAGTATTGCTTGTGGTGTATCTCAAATGGTGACATTCTGTCTACATCATTATATTTACTCCCTGGAATTCTACTGTAAGGAAGACCTTTCACTTTCTCATTCATTCAGTTATTTGTTTATATCAGTATAGACACACATGGACTCTTATTTAAATAATTCTATGGGTTTATAATCCATCCTATCATTATTTATTCTTGTCCTTGATTTGGCCATTAGGAGTTGGAGTGCCTTCAGGTTAGCTCCTAAGTTATTTTGATATCTCTCTCTCTCTCTCTCTCTCTCTCTCTCCCTCTCTCCCCCCCCCCCTCTCTTTCTCTTTCTCATCAATTTTTTACTTTATAGCACCACAAACTGTTCTAGGTTCATTTTGTATTTTCCTAAAATTGGCCATTTCTCTACAGTTTCTTTATATTAAAGAATGGTGTTTAGCTACCAATATCTGAGTGCTGGTTGTGCTCACTGGTACTAGGGTCTCATTGTTTCTAACTCCTGTCAGAGGACAGAGCAAAGACACACACACACACACACACACACACACCTACACACCTGTTTGTTCCTACCTACCTCCATCAGTTCCACTCTGTTCCCTTCCTCCATTCTTTCTGCCCTGTTTCCACCCACCCTGTCAGAAATCAATCTCATTAGTTTCTGATTTATTCTTCCTTGAACAGCACTTTTCAGCCTTGCAGTAAGTGTTTAGCATCCCCCCCGCCCCCCAAGGTACCAGCTCTCCATAAGGTGAATAAGATTCAATAATGTTTGTTTAAACAGCCACATTTCTTTATAATAGCATCATAAAGCCAAAGTTGTACTTGCCATGCCCCAGGTGACTCAGCAAATTTTGTATTTCCTAGACTTTAATTAATGGTTGTGATTCATTTTACTTCTGGGACTTTTTTTTACTAAGCCTGATCTTTTAAAGTACATAGTTCAGGAAAGGGAGTAAGAGACAGAAGAACATGCAGAAAGATGTGTGCCTCAACAGTTTAATGGCCAAAAGGGGAGCTACCTGAAAATATCCAGTAGAATGACGTAAACCAAAATATAACCACACTGTGAAGTATATTTTTAGCTGCTAAAATATTTATCATGATACAAACCAAAGGCTGTGGCCATATGCCTTTTGTTCTTCTTTGTATTTTTTAACTTCCCACCCAATACATATGCACGTGCATTCATGCATTAAGTAACAGGAGTCAGGACCTGGTGGTTGGGGCAGAGCGATTGGGAAAAGCCAGTGAGAAGAGTCACAAAGCAAAGGAAGTGCTCCCTGAGGCACAGCCTACCTACCCAGACAGGTCTCCTAATAGGTTGCTAACAATTAGCCTAGATCGGGGTGGTAGGATGAGAACTTGGGTAGGTTATACTTCTAATATTGTACAATTCAAAATGTGCTTACCCTTAGAGAATTTTTTTGTTATTTTAATACTTCAAAATTAATTCTAATAATTTATACGCTTCTTGGACCTTGGGGATAGTAGACAGTAAACTTCTGGTGAGGCAGGTGCCCTAATGCTGATGAGAATCAAGAGTAACAAAAGTAGCTATTTATTGAGTGCTTCATGTTAGCCATATAATCAAATCATTACTTTTTTAAAACAGTCAGATTTCTTGCCTATTAAGATATTATGATCAATACATGAGCACAACCAGTTATCTTATGTTACAGGATGATTTAAACTATTGAAAACACGATTTTTCTCTTTCTGTGTGTTATCCATGGGTTCTAAGACTCAGTAACTTGCCTTAAACTACCCAGAATAAGTAGTTTCTGGCTAACCATCTCTTACAGCCTAAGGATGAGTGTTATTAATTTGAAAGGATTAAGGTATTTTTCATCAGACCAAAACTTGTCTAACTTTAAGATTTTTTATTTAGTTTATTTCTTAATACAATTCAATGATGACCGAGGTTTTTCAAGTGTTTATTGAATATATTATGACTAGATCATAAGTAGAAGTCTAGTATTTAGGAGACTTTTTACACCCTAGTTGCACAGAAGCTCTGCCATCTTCTTGGGATGAATGTGATGGAGTTTACTCGGGCTATCCTCACCCCGCGGATCAAGGTCGGCCGAGACTACGTGCAGAAAGCCCAGACCAAAGAACAAGTACGCTTTTCATTCATTTTTATGCATTTGTTTGAGTGATAAAATGGTCAGAAGACCTTCTGATTGGCATGTAACAAACAGAATCAATTAAAGCTCCATGATAAGGATGTTTCTTGGTACTAATTGGGTATTTTTTTTCTCTTATAGTTTTTTGTTTTATAGAAAAATTTTAAAGGTGACTTTTTTAAAAAAGGAAATGTGAAATATCACCTTGAATTTTCCCCAGGGAGCTAGATTATCCAGGAGGACAGAGCTGTGTACTTCTGGCGCCTGCCCAGCAGGGGGGCGTGCTCCACAAGAATATAGGAGTCAGAGCCACTCATTTCATGGTGGACTCCCTTCAGACTTGAGCAGATATGCTATGCAGAACCCCAGCAGCATAGGGAAGGGCTTGTTTTTACTGAACATCTTTACCTGTCCTTTAAATCAGTTATCTTCAGTTTACATTTAATTGTACTAACACACACTCTGTTGATGTGTAAAATTGAGACAGGATTAAGCAGTAAATGCTATTTCTAGTTTCTTGAGCACTGTAGAACATTAAACTCCATATAACAGCTATTAATGCTTTGTTGAGATCATTTCCAGAATAAAAGGTTGGTGTTGTGTAATTATAGGCAGATTTTGCAGTAGAAGCGTTGGCAAAAGCTACCTATGAGCGGCTATTTCGCTGGCTTGTTCACCGAATCAATAAAGCTCTGGATAGGACCAAACGTCAGGGAGCATCTTTTATTGGAATCCTGGATATTGCTGGATTTGAGATTTTTGAGGTACGTCTCTCTCCCTCCTGCTCTTCCTTCCTTCTGCTTATTTTAACAAATATTCATTAAAGCTCACTATATATATTCACTGTGCTGTGCCAGGCACCAGAGATATAATGGTAGATAAGCAGGTACTGTCCTTGATATTCTAGTAGAGTCAAACGTAAATGACAGATAACCACGAAATTCTCAGATTTGTGAATAATGAAGTGAAAGGTGTGCTGTGATAAAAAGAATTGGGGAGGCCAAATTTAGACAGCTGAGTCGTGGAGGGTGTCTCTGCAGTGGTAACTAAGCATACGTGAAGGATGAGAAGCCACCGGCCTCAGTACGTTTCCAGGCAGCGGTCCTATATGGGAGAGAATTGTCAAATGTTAGAAATTGCTAGACAGCCAGTGTGACTAGATGTAACTGACCAAAGGGAGAGAGTAGCTGGAGACCAGAGTTCTCTCTGGTTTGGGGCAAAAGCAGAAACAGGAAGACCACTGGGGCCGTTGGCCATTGTAGTGGACCAGGCACCAGGTGATGGTGGCTGGCTTGGGAGTCAGGAGTAGCAGTGAGATGGAGAAATGAGGAAAGATAATGATCCCTGTTCTGAAGATAAAACCATCGGATTTGATGATAGATTTCAATGTATTTTATTACTGATCTGACTAGATTTTTGTTCCAAACATTTATTTACCATCAACTAATCAAAGGTTTGTAGTTATACATCTGCAAAAAAGTTAATAAAATTTTGATCTCCTAAATATTTATATCTTTATCTCTCATTTGACAGGCTGACTATGTAGTAAGACAAATACTTCTTGGGATCAGTATGCTACTTTGGCCACTATTGGATATTGAATTGTCTTGTTTAAAAATGAGCCTCTTTGGGCCGGCCAAGTGGCGCGTAGGTTAAGAGCTGGCTTGGGACGCCAGAGGGCCCCAGTTTGGATCCCACATATGAGGGCCAGTGACACTGCCCTCTACAGCTAAGATGCTGAACAACAGCTCAACCTGGAGCTGGGCTGCTGTGAGTCGCCAGTGACGGCGAAGGCTGCAGCCCCTGCTGCAGTGGGTTGCCATGGGCTACCGTGTGTAGCAGGCAGCCCGCGTGAGCGGCCAGCAGCCGCTGTGAGCAGCCGTCCAGAAGCTGGTGACTTAATCTGCCTCGCCTGGGAAGAGCGCAATGATGGTGCCAACTTGGGCCAGTGAAGCAACGTCCTCCACAACTAGACTGAAGAACAAAAGGACAGCAACTTTTCTGTTCCCCTTCCCCCAATTCCCCAGCATTGTTCCCATCCCCCAATTTCCCAAAAAAAAAAAAAAATCTTTAAAAATAAAAAGAGCCTCTTTAAAATTATAAGTCTATCCTAACAAAATCTGAACCATTACTGGTATAAGCAGTTTCATAGGCTGAACTGTCACTGCTGTAATAAAAAATTACTTTAATATGTATTGATTTGTAAATAACTTGAGAAATCATGAAAGGCGGCTGGGTAAATGGACAGAGTTCACAGAGAAGGAAACAGAAATGTCTTTAACTTTAAGTTACATTTAAAAAAATCTGTCGCCTTCCTATATATAAACGATCAGAAAATATAATGAAAGAAAAGATCCCTATTTCCAACAGTCATGTGAACAGATGAAATACCTAAGAATAAATTTAAGAAGAAATGGGCAAAATTAAGTTGAAGACATTTTACAGTGCTACTTAACAGAAAAAAGGTGTGTTGATGCTAAAAATGCAAGGTTCTTTATTGATCATTATTTGTCATGGAAAAGAATGAAAACAGCCTAAATGCCCATCATTAGGAGATTGGTTCAATTTAACTGTAATATATCCATACAGTGGAGTACTATGCACCCATTATAAAGAATCAGGTGACCTTACTTACTAATTTGGAAAGATTCCAAATATATTGTTAAGTTAAAATAAAACAAAATAATACACACATTTATAAGCGCATAGAATATTTCTGGAAGGATCACAACAAATAAGTGATAGCGCTTGACTGTAGGGAATCAGAGTAAGACTTACTTAGTATAATTCTTTGTACTTTTTTGTGTTGTTTTTTTTTTTAGCTGAGCCATCCTGCCACCTGTTGGCAGCTCAGCTCAGGTCGGGAATCGAACCGCTGTTGCTCAGAGCTCAAACTCTTGAGCAAGCTCTTAACCAACTGAGCCACTCGGCCGGCCCTCTTTGTACATTTTTTATTTTATACCATGCATTACCAAATTGGTTATTTTAAAATATAGTTGGTAGCCTAAATATGGAAGAAAAATAGAATTTAAAAAAATACCATCACACATAGTAGCCCAGGCTAAATAGAGAATAAGATTTCATAATCCTAAGGCAAAGCAAAACCATTTACATAAACATGAATAAGCACAGTCGAGCAGCCTGCAAATATTTCTGTGGTTCACTAGAAATTCTGTGCTGAGCAAGCAAACAGTGACCCTGCCTTCCTAGCATGACCTAATTCTAAAATAGTGAATATAACACCTTCATGGGGGTGAAAGACTGAAATGGCTCTTCAGACTATAAATCTATTCCTTGGAGATTGATTACACCTGCCCTAATTGAAGATCACTTTTTATAATGAAAGAGGTTATTTATGGACACATGCTTCTCACGTGAACAGTGTGGAGGCAGAAAAGAAGGTTGAGTACTTCTAATGTAGAAGGTGATTGCTTTAAGAATATATACCTATTAATTCATCCATTCATTCATCCCATCAACAATGCTATAGAAAAAATGGGCAGAGTTCACAGAGAAGGAAACAGAAATGTCTGTAACTTAAGAAAAGATGCTCAAGCTGGTCGAGTGGCACGTTGGTTAAGAGCTGGCTTGGGACACCAGCTCTGAGCAGCAGGGCCCCAGTTCAGATCCCGCATATGAGGGCCAGTGACACTGCCCTCAATGGCTGAGATGCTGAACAACAGCTCAACCTGGAGCTGTGCTGCTGTGAGTCGCCAGCGACAGCGTAGGCTGCAGTGAAGCTGCAGTGGGCTGCCATAAGCTACCGTGCATGGCCGGCAGCCAGCGTGAGCTGCCAAGAGCCAACGTGAGCGGCCGTCAAGTGGCTGACAACCAATCTGCCTCACCCAGGAAGAGCACAAGGATAATACCAATATGGGCCAGTGAAGCAACGTCCTCCACAACTAGACTGAAGAACAAAAGGACAGCAGCTTGTCTGTTCCCCTTCCCCAATTCCCCAACGCTGTTTCCTCCCCCAAATCCCCAATAAAACCTTAAAAAAAAAAAGTGCTCAAATTCACTTCATGAGAGCAATGCAATATCACTTGATATTGGCAGAGGTCAAACCTTTGATAAGAGAAGGGAATGCTTAGCAAAGCAGCCTGGAGCCTCACATTTATTGAGTGTGCTTTGTTTGTCAGGCCTGACTGGGATCTCAGCAACAACCCTGTGAAGCACATATTATTTATCACTGTGGAGCCGATAGCCTCAGTAAATAGAATGGGACAGTACCACATCCATGCTCTAGATGCCTCAAGACTTAGAGTTGTGCTTCCTTCACTTTTCCCCTGCCTTCCCAAGTCTCTTTGTTTTTCTTTTTCATTTATTTCTTATTTCTATTCATTAAGCATTCACTGATAAGAACTGTTTTATTTGTAGATCACTCAATTAGCATACTGGGTTTAGTATTTTCTCATTTTAGCAACTCAGTAATGTGATGTGATCATATATATATATATATATATATATATATATATATATATATATAGTGTGTGTGTGTGTGTGTGAGAGAGATTGAAAGAGCCCCTCCTCAGTTTAGTCNTGTGTGTGTGTCAGAGAGATTGAAAGAGCCCCTCCTCAGTTTAGTCACTATCATTGTTAGATAGAATCAATGTAGTTGATACCTAATTAATAATTTTTAATGAATTTTTTGATAACGATGATTAATTGTTCCTGTTTTTCCTCCCCCTCCCCATGTTTGGAAAATCATTCTTTGAACATTTGTAGCTGAACTCCTTTGAACAACTTTGTATCAACTATACCAATGAGAAGCTGCAGCAGCTGTTCAACCACACCATGTTTATCCTGGAGCAAGAGGAATACCAGCGTGAAGGCATCGAGTGGAACTTCATCGATTTTGGATTAGATCTGCAGCCATGCATTGACCTGATAGAGAGACCCGTAAGAGTATTTACTTGCTATTTGGCTTTCAGCTCCTGTGCAAGCAGTGCCTTGACTTTTCTCTTGGCATAATCTGAGGCAAATTATCCTGTCTAATCAGTGTTAATGTTCTAATCTAAATTTTCTAGGAAGGTGATACTTTGATAAAATACCTATTTTAAAAAGTAAGTAGCGGGCCCGTTGAGTGGCTCACTTGGTTAAGAGCTCGCTCAAGAGTTTGAGCTCTGAGCAACAACAGTTCGATTCCCGGCCTGAGCTGAGCTGCCAATATGGTGGCAGGATGGCTCAACTTAAAAAAAAAAAAGTAGCATGCCAGTAAGACCCTCCTTTGGCTCTCCTTTCTACAGCCATGTTCCTTTCTTTGCATTTGTGAATATGTTGGTTAAAGGACCCTGGTTCCTCCCAGACTGCAGACACCACAGTGGTGGTGGCAGTCACATTCACCATCAACCCTCAGCACCTCTCAAAGGGTGTAGGGCTCCAGCTGGCTCACTTCCTGGGCAATACAGGGACACTTCTATTAGAAAAACTAAGTCATGTCACGTAAATCCATTTTCCAGATAATAAAACTTATCCTCATAAGTACAAAGGTATTTTTATTTTGGCAGATTTTTTTTTAATGTTTTTTAGGTTGAGGGGTTTTTGGGCAGATATATTTTTATAGCAATCTTAGCAAACATCAGATTATTTTCTTTTGGTTCAGTGTTATGTAGAGATACATGAAACTATGTATAACTCATTCACTTACGAACTCTACTCCATATGATCTCAAACAAATATGATTTGGCTATGTATTCCCTGTGAGTTTAGCTTCTGCTCAACAAGATAGTAGCTTTGCTTATTTTATTTTGCTAACTACCAAAATATAGGAAAACTAAATCATAATCAAGCACTGATATCAGTCATTACGTAAAGTTCTAATGCTAGTCAGTAGATGTGTTTTCACAACAGCTCCAGGGTATGTCCTTGGAGTTGCACTAGGCTTTGCAGCAGTTCTTTTTCGTGCTGCTGGGTCTGTGTTTGCCACCTGTGCTCACTGCGTTGAAGGGATTAGAGGGCTGATGCTACAGCCTGAATGTTACAGTACCTGTAGTCAGAACCGGGGAGAGGGGGAGCCTAGAGGACCTTTGCCCATTAGTGATGTAGTTTTAGCACATTAAAAATTGGGGATTAAGGGAAGTAACATAATTTTCGTTTGGCTCATACATGAGAGATCATTTAACTGTTCAGGGCACTGTAGCTGCTTGTTTAGGGCAGAAATCTCAAACCACCTGTAATTGGGAGGAATCTGCTTCTGTGTACCTTGCAGCATTGTTTAGAAGTAACATTCAAGGCACACTACTAGTAATAACTTCCAGTGAACACTCATGCATACACAAACATGTGTCCTTGCTGCTTTATTGCCCCAAAAAGTTGTTTGGGAATTTATATAAATAAGGGAATAGACTATTTCATATAAGTATTATTGATGACCATAGCGTTTGTTGTTTGGGATGCTCATTTATGTGTATCTGACACTGAAAGTCCTGTGTTTTAAGAAAGTATTGACTATGTATCTGCACTTATAATTTAGGGTGGAAGTGAAGCCGTAAGAGTTGCTAAATCAATCCCTTGTCTGCAGGAATAATTGTACCAAAACTCTTCCAAAGGGAAAGTTATCCTATGTTTAAAAAGTATTTTTAGAGGGTTTTAAAATCTGATGGTTTTGTGACCTTTTAATGAATCTTAGGAACGTACATTCTTCTTAATGTAACGCAATGTATTTCTTTTGCTTTATCCTAGGACAAAGTACTTTCTATGCCAATTTTTTTCACTCTCACCTGATGCTTTTATTCTAAATGTGAGAGTGGTAGGGGAAAGTAAACATTTCAACCTTAATGTTTAGCTCACAGCAAAAATAGGTGAGGCAGAGAGTTTGATGGTCACATTTGTAGTGTTTTGTTGAATTTCAGTTGTTTTGTTGGATACTGTTGGATTAGCATAAGATCAAGGTAGCCATAATTTATTGACCCTTCAATGACAGCCTGGAAATACAAAGATGGGGGCGCCGTGGAGATGTGGGGAGCAAATAGTGTGGCCCTGGTCTTTGGGGACCTGATCTTGAAGCCAGAGAACAGAACAAAACATGGCAGTTAGTTCATTGGTTATATGGCTCTCAGGCTAAGCGATGCTCTGAATTTGGAGAAGGTAAAGGCCACAGTTGGCTGACGGTGTCACAGGAGGTTTCCTAATGTAGATGTCATGAAGGGAATAGGATAGCAGTCCAGAGCTACATTCTAAAAATTGGTAGGTGAGCAATGCATTGATAGTGGTCTTGTAGGAAAATTATTCAGTCAGAGTGTTCAGAAAGCACTGGAATGGGAAGGCTATCCAGTTATGCCTATACTGAAGGAAATGAGCAAAATGAATTCCTTCCTCTTTTTCCTCACTCCTTCCCTGCTCCCTTCCTCTATCCTTCTCTCCCTCCCTTTTTCACTCCTTCCTTCCTATACTTCTTGTACTGGCACTTCTAGGCTCTTCCCAAAAAACTTTTAGAATATAACTTTTTATTCCTTGCCTGAGTAGTACTAATTTATAAGAGAGAGAACTTAGAAAGAGAAAGGAGGGAATTCCAGATTGAATGCTGCCTCACTCTTTACCTCAATTATTCTTTAGGATTACCTATTCTACTTATCCATAGAAACATAAAACCTGATTTTAAAAAACTTAAATTTTTTGGGCCGGCCGAGTGGTGCAGTGGTTAAAAACTGGCTTGGGACACCAGAGGGCCCTGGTTCGGATCCCACATATGAGGGCCAGTGACACTGCCCTCTATGGCTGAGATGCTGAACAACAGCTCAACCTGGACCTGGGCTGCCGTGACGGCGTAAGCTGCAGTCCCTGCTGCAGTGGGTTGCCATGAGCTACCGTGTGTAGCCAGCAGCCAGCGTGAGCGGCCAGCAGCCACAGTGAGCGGCCGTCCAGAAGCTGGCAACTGATCTGCCTCACCCGGGAAGAGCGCAATGATGGTACCAACTTGGGCCAGTGAAGCAACGTCCTCCACAACTAGACTGAAGAACAAAAAGGACAGCAACTTGTCTGTCCCCCTTCCCCCAATTCCCCCCCCCCAAAAAAAAACTGTAAATTTTTTTAAACCTTTAAGAGTTTATAATAGTAGGAAATTTAACTATACCATGCAGAATGATATGGGATAATGATTCCATTGATGGTGCTTTCAAAATGGAGAGTGAGAACAGTTTCCAGAAGGAAAATACCTAAAAAGCTACCTTGTGGTGGCACCTTTCTATCCTGTGCCCGTCTTAACCTCATCTCTCGCAAACCCAGCCCATGCCCAGCTTGGGGAAGGGTAGCAGTAGGTGGCCCCTGAACTTGGCAAGCTGCTTACAAAACCCCTGATATTGCCTCTGGCCTTAGACAGAAACGTAACCTCCCAAACTTATAGCTCTTTTAGAAATCCCTAATTAAAAGGAGAAGTGTTAACAGGGAACTTGACATTGAAGGATAAAGTAAGAAAAATAAAAAGGAGACACAATAATGGATATTCATAATTATGCTGTCACTGAGTCATTTAGAGAAGTCATTTAGAAAAGATTAAATTATATGTGGGATCCTATTTCAGAATTTAGAAATATTTCCATTAAAGGGAATTAAAAATGTAAAAATTATGGTAGAAAGATGAATGTTTTGCTTATCTTCATATTAATATGAAACTTCATTTCTCAAAGTTGTCAGGTGAATGGGGCATATTGAGTTACCTGCCACTCTGAACCTTTGTTTCTCTAGGATTTCCTATTCCTAGCTATCTTTGATTATAGTCTACTTTTAGCTGCTTTGAAACCCTGCAAGTTCTCTTAGGTAGAGGAACCACAAACTAAAGAGCCATGGAGTAAGGGTCTCAGTGCTGGGGCTCATTGCAGAAGTTCTCTCAGCTTCTACCTGCTGAATTGTATTTCACCACCACCTTCGTCTGACCATATTCTTACACTATTTCATTTATATTTAACTATAACCTCTAGTTACTTTTTAAGCCATATTGGCATAAAGCCTTCTCTCCCAGTAAATATTAAAGCCTTGTGAGTTGAAGAAAACTGATCCTAGAGATTTATTCACAAAGCTGATACGCCCTAGAATCAGTACAAATCTTGTATCACAAATTTGCCGTATTTTCAGCATAGCAATGATTAATGACCCAGAAGCACTATAAAATAGACCATCACTGTGTCTATATTTTGTTTAGCTTTCTTGTGTTCTCCACTTTCCTCCAAAAAGGAAGTCATTCCACTGACTTTTGCACTCCCAGAGAATGGCAAGCTCTAGGCATTTTTTTAAATTGAGACATAATTCACATACCTTAAAATTCACACTTTTAAAGTATACAATTCAGTAGTTTTTAGTAGATTCACGAAATTGTGCAACCATTACCACTGTCTAATTCCACAACATTTTCATCATCCCAGAAAAACACTTTGTACCCGTTAGCAGGCGCTCCTTATTTCCCTCCCCCCAGTCCCTGATGACACTAATCTGCTTTATGTCTCAAGGCCTTTTTTCAGTGAACTAGTTGAGTGAAATAAAAATGGGCTCTTAAATATTTGTTGAAAAAAATATAAAGTAATTGATAAATTATTTCATCACCTTCCATATATTCTACTTAATAATAGATTTAAATGTTTCACCAAGTATGAAGCAGTACAGACAATTTGATTTAATCGTCACTTAAACAGAAACCTAAATTGTTTTGGTTATAAAATGTCTGAAGCATTCCACCTAGTGGAGGTTTTTAATAATTTATCCGTCCAGTCATTGGATATAAGCAGTTTCATCTCTCCACCTCCTAGTTCCTTTGTGGCGTCTTTTACTTGCTGTTTTTTGGGGGCCATCTGCTTGGAATTAGTTTACCTACAAATTACATATATGTGAGCTTATGAGATAAGTTACACCCATTGTCTCACCAGTACTTATTTAGCAGTTTGAGATCTCAGTGTTTGAATTATAGATACGGCTTGGACATTACGTTGTATCCTAGCAATTTGTTTGCCTTAGATCTTCATAAAACTCTGTTTTGGAAGTTAAAGTGCCAAACCCAGTGGGAAAAAAATCCTGGTATTTAAAGTGACATGGAAAACTTGACAGTTCTCACTGCCTCTCATTATCAGGCTAACCCTCCAGGTGTACTGGCCCTTTTGGATGAAGAGTGCTGGTTCCCTAAAGCCACGGATAAAACCTTTGTTGAAAAACTAGTTCAAGAGCAAGGTTCCCACTCCAAGTTTCAGAAACCACGGCAACTGAAAGACAAAGCTGACTTTTGCATTATACATTATGCAGGGAAGGTAAGAGTTGAGTAACTTGATTTCAGAAAGCACTGTGAAATTTTGCTGCATTTGATGAAACTGTAACAAAGGTTACAAACTGATAAACATTTGTAAATCCTTGAATACAGTATACATTGCAAATGCATTGCCTTCGAGAAAACCCACTGTTTAGCTTGTTCTGTGGACATTTTTGGTCAAGGCCTAAAATGTTTCTTGTTTTGTGTTTTTGTTTGTTTTTTTCCATCTCACCACGTCTGGCTCTGGTCCGGGCCAGGTGGACTATAAGGCAGACGAGTGGCTGATGAAAAACATGGACCCTCTGAACGACAATGTGGCCACGCTCCTGCACCAGTCATCCGACAGATTTGTTGCAGAGCTTTGGAAGGATGGTAAGAATGTGCTTATATTTTTAATTAAGCTTGGCCAGAATTGTTTATAATTAAGGCTTTGATATGTGTATATGTATTCGACTTTTAAAACCCTTTCCCTAGAGCAGGGCTGCCGTTATATCGGAATTTACCCACTTAAAGAATACTTGGATAACAAGACATCTGCCTTCTTGGTCAGATGCTATGGGGAATGTGGAGACATTCTAGGCCCAGACCCGTAAAGAGCTACACAGGCCTCAGGCCACCCTGGTCCCAGTTAGGTTATAATCCAAGGACACTGAGACACAAAACCCAAGAAGCCCTGTGCATTTTCTCTGGGTTGCGTACAGGTCAGCTGAGCCGCATCCTCAGCCACGTCCAGCCTTTCTCACACACACAAAAAGTGGCTGATACTCTGCATGTGTATCAGTTGTTTTTATTCCCATCAGTCTTCCTCGTTCTTTTGTTTACATGAACCTCCAGTGAAGATTTTGGAGATTTTGTCTTAGACTAGAAGGTTTTACTAGTACCAGAAAAACAAAATCTCTGTGTGTATGCATAGTGGGAACCAGCATCTTCTAGAGCTTAGCTTTCACTGCTACATTTCATCCAGGTTGTAGCCCACCTCTCTGCTTGGCCGCAGGTCATGCAGGGCCTTAGCCTGGATCTGACCCTTGCTAGGCCTTGACCCTGAGGCCAGGCTGAAGTAACCTGGCTCACTTCTGCTTTTCCTATAGCATCTCAAGACCTTGTAATCTAGCTGTCTTCTCAAAGGTAGAGAGAAAGAAACACAGAAAGCAGAAAAGAAGGAGTTCAGACAGTTGGGGGCAAAGAGATAAAAAGAGTGAGCATAGAGAGAGTGAGCATGGGGAAAGGTGACCGTGTCAAAGATAAAGTAGGCAGAATGACGGGAGTAAGTGTGAGGGGACCTGCAGGAGTGGGGTGCACTGCCCACATGCATGCACGTGTCCTGGGAAGAGGCCATGTGCCTGAAAACATTTAAAAGGAGGGATTTGGGGAACAGGTTAGGTTCCAACAAGTCAAACAGGAGCTTTTAATCTTCATGCCTTTGGATGAACGTCTTCAACCAGATGCTGAGTGTTCGCTGTTACTTGCAATGACCCGGTCAGTCGAGAGGTGCTGCACAAGGACTGAGAAGAGGGGCAGGAACCTTATGGGGCATTTGCAGTGGCTTAGTAGCAGAGGGACTCCTGACCCGGTGGGTAGGAAATGTTAGAATGGCATCTGAGAAGCTGGACCTGGAGCGGGAAAAATGACTGAGCTCTGGTTGTTGCAGGGTCCCCAGTGCTAGAAAGACCAAAACTGGTGAGTGGGAAATGTGCGTGGAAAAATGTCACAAAACGAAGAGAAAGGAGTAATGCTGCCAGTCACAACCCCTGCATTCTATAAGGAATCATTTCCGTTGTGACTATATTAGACATGGTGTAGGTTAGAGTTAGCCCATGTTCCTTCCTCCGCCTCCTCCTCCTCCTCCTCCTCCCCTTCCTCCTCCTCCTCCTCCTCCTCCTCCTCCTCCTCCTCCTCCTCCTCCTCCTCCTCCTCCTCACCTTAGCACACAGGAAAGGGAGTGAGATATGCAGACAGAGTGCTGAGTGCCAGAGATACCTGTGGTGAATGCCATGTGCATAGCACAGAATGAGCTATTAGCAGCATACAGCAGGGACAACAAGGGACTGCCTCTCTCCTGAGGTGCTAAGGTAAAATATCACAAAGGAGGAGGCAGTTTTCCTGGTTCTTGAAGGATAATAATTTGTCGAATAAATAAGGAAGGCTGACATTTACTGAGTACTTACTAAATGCTGGGCAGTTTTTCAGCACTAATTTATGCACATTCATGTCCCGATTAGGCCTTAACTATTGAGGGGTGAGTAGGTTTGCATAAGCTCGCTCATCTAGGGACAGGGAGCATTTTTAGGAGTGAAGTTGGCATGGGAGAAGAAGGGGGTGAGCAGATGCGATGGATGATCACATATGAAAGGGGAAAATCACAGCTCAGGATAAGTGTTCCGTTTGGGATTTAGAGTAAGGCTGGGGCAAAAGGGCATGATGTACAGGAAAGGAGGCCAGACCATGGAGAACCCTGATGGCTAGTCTCAGTGGATTTGACATTATTGAATAAATAGCATCAGTAGGTTTGTGAGCCCGAGTAGTAACACAGTATGAACTTGAAGAAGTAGAATAGGCAGTGGTTGGCTGGATGGACTGGGGTGAAAGAACCTGGAAATGGGGAGTCCAGTGCGAGGTGACTGAGGATGAAAGAAGTAGGCATGGAAGGAATGCCTAGGAAAAAAAGGAATAGAGGAAACTAGGATTTTTACTATTAAAGCCTCAAAAACTGATTTTTCTCTTCACTTTGAATGAGAAGAGAGGCAGGTATTTGGGGAATTAATGACTTTATAATAAAAGAGATTAGGTCCTGAGCTTACTTACCGACTCTGATGTTGTGAACCAGTTTTGACTCTTATATTTTAATTTCTTAACCAAAAATGATATTGTGAGAAACCCCTATTGAGCACCTGATGTATTCCTATATCACTACATGTGTGATATATATATATAACCATGTGCTTGCCATATAAGCACATATATAACGATGTGCTTACCATGGATATAATAAGTGAGATCTATTTGGAAATGAAGAAAGACATGGCCCTGCCCTCCAAGAAATTGGAATCTAGTTGAAAACTCAGGATATGCACAGATGCAATCATAGGACACAGCAAGCCTCTGTCTTGTCTCCCAGCTTCCTTGGCTTCCTCCTTACATTCTCCTCCTTTAACTCCATGTCTCACCATACCCAGAAATGGGAGAGCCGTTGGCAGCAGTGGGTCAGAAGTTTCAGGAATGTGAAATTTGGCAGGCAAGGGTGGAGGTGGGGCTGCAATTATCCATGTCACAGATGATGTGTCTTACAGGCAGGGCCATGTCTGGAACGTCCTCGTCTGCCTTTTTGTGCTTTCCATGTGCTTTCCACAGTTACTTATTTAATTACAGAGACGCTGAGAGAAAACGCTTGCTGCCTTGAGGAGCTGCTCCAGTCCTGGCCCGAGCCCTGTCCCTCTGTACTTAATCACAGACTGTCCGTTTGCACAGCCTTGCTGTCACCCTTGCCTCTCTACAGATAGGCGCTTGGGAGCATGTGTGGCCACTTTTGTCAAAGTAGGCTGAGAGAACACTTTTCTACCCAAGTTTGACTGGCCATGCTAGTGTCTGCTCTGGAATATTCCCCCATGTTTGCTCTCCTGATAATTTGCAGGAAGTCCTTTCATCCATCAGCTTAGGTGGACACTATTCAGTGTAATCCGAGTGACAGGATCTCAGAGGTCACTCACTGTTGGGGAAGGGCCAGGCAGAGTGGCTGGCAGTACCATATTTGTCCAATTCTGAGGACTGTGTTTCATACATAGTCAGGGGCAGGCACAGGCTTTTGAGGAGAATTCATCAGTGCTCACTCTGGATATAGAGACCTCTTGGGATAAGGGGAACTTTTTCTCTAGGAAAATAAAATAGCCCTGGAAAAAACATGTAATTATTTTCCCCTTTTTATAGCCACATAAATGCAAAAGCAGAAAATGGCAAGTGGACCGTGAATGTATGACTATATGATGTATGAATATAGTTTGTCTGTGAAGGTGCAAAACCTTGAATATAAAACATTTTGTGTTCAAATAAACTTTGTGGTAGGGCTTTACAGAGTTTTCTCAAAGCCAAACCAGGATAAATAAGATGTTTTGGTGGCAGCCCTGCCCTAGAGATTCATAGTGCCCTACTTTTTGCTAAAAGATGTTTTAGGATCTCTATACCAGCTGCACAGGACTTCTTGCCACTTCTTAGGGCTTATATACAGAAAAAAAAGAAAAAAACCCTAAAAATTGCATTTTTATATAACTGTGCCTCTTAGGATATTTTCATGAGTAACGATGTGATCACGTATCAGCTTGCTTATGATTTGAAGTTATTTTAACATTTTGCTAACAACAGAACTTGAATTTTGTTTTCCTTAATAGTAGTTACCTATCTGTTAGTAATTTGTATTTGAGGTAAATGATATTTCCAAAATCTGTATTGGAAGTAAAATTACACAGCAGTGTAAAAATTCGACAGTAAAAGCTACTAATATCTACACTTAACAGAATGCTCTCACTTACTGCAGCATTGTCCTGATTTGCTCATTACAAGATAATTTTATGAACAAGTCAAATAGTACCTTATTACTCGTAAGAATTCATCCTGCATTTACATGGGGTTACTCATTTAACATTGATGTGATATAATGCTCACACCTGGAGTTGGGGATGTGCTTTTTTGATTCAGATGAAGTTTGCTTGATAAAGAACTTTGTCCAAATGTACAAATTCTCTAAACAGTAATGTTTGCATGGGATCTGCCCGGGACTAGCTACTTTTGTAGTCAGATTTCAAAGTTTACTTGTGATGTCGAATGTCTTTCACACTAACCGAAGTGTTTGTGTATTTGCTCTTCTGTCCTGTTTTTGCTGTTTCTCTGCTTTAGAGATTCAGAATATTCAGAGAGCTTCTTTCTATGACAGTGTTTCTGGTCTTCATGAGACACCAGGTGAATGTACAAAGCCTGTAGGTCTTCCAAAACAGAAGGGTTTTAAGCCCACAGGAAGAACTTGTGGTGGGGGGCTGGCAGGGTGGCTGGGGAGGGCAGGGTATACTGGGCGTGGGGCTGGTTTCTGGGTTTCTGTTTTTGTTTTGCTCATAGACCTGCATGAACCTTTCATTTCATGCTCAGTTTTATTATACTTCAAGGCAATTGTTTGAGTGCATAAACAAGTCAACTGCTGCTGCCTACACATTGCTTCTTATTTTATGCATAGCACTTACAGCACTGCATATTAAAAGGTATGTCACTACCTTTTCCAATAGTGCCATTTTGATACACAGTCCTCTAAGGGAATTGTTAGGAATTGATCTATTAAATAATGTCTCCTTTGTCTTTGAGTTACCCTCAAATTTTCAACTCTAAGAAATTCCAAAGAGGAGTTTTTTGTTTGTTTAAGTCATTAACATTTTATGAACAAATAAGTACATATTTACCTCACATGTGTTGGTCTCATATCTTTTGTTTGGAATTTATGTGCATATCTAGCTACTTGGCTTTTTCTTTTGTACTGAGGATAATGAAACTATCAACAAGACTTGATATGTGTAAGGTGAGACTAAGACAGAGTAGAATGTTGTCAGAATTTGTACACTGAATGTGAAATTGAGCTCCAAACGTATGGGCCTCGTGGTCTGAATCCTAGCCTGTTTTAAGTTGATACAGCCTAATCCTGGCTGGAACCCCCCCCCCCCCCGCCCCAGAAACCCAATATAAAATGAATATCACCCAGCCTTCCAGTTGTTTAGTGAAATTATCAAGTAGTGGAATTCACAGATACAGTTACATTCATCTTATAAAATTTCCTTTATAATTTTTGGAACATGATAATGCTGAGATCTAAATTCATCTCAAAAGTTGTTTTTCTTTTAATATGTTAAAGGAATGTGCCCATTTTCATTCAAGTCAAGAGTCCTGCCATCAATTCTAGTTGGCATCCTATGAAAGAAGTAGATTGCGGCATTGGGATGAGGAGCAGGGGAGATAGATTATGCCAAAGGATATCCCGTGAGCTGGAATGAATATGCCACAGAAGAACTCTAAAGGAAGAAATCTTCAAATTCAGTCATCTATGGCCTTGGGAACCACTGACAGAGTTGAGGAAGTGGGGAGAGGAAGAGAGAGCTAGGAGGTAGTTTTAGGCTTATGGTCGGCCTGAGACTTGTGCTTTGTTAAATGGTTGGTGCTTGATCTTTTAGACTTTCTCCCAAAGTAGAGTGCCCTCTTTAATTCCCTTTAACTCTTTCAGATTTCTAATTTCTTAAGAGAATTCCAGATGGTGGGCTCTCTGTTATTTCCTCAGCAGCTGGCCCAGAGTCGGCACAGCATAAATCAGTCATTGAGTGAAGGAACTGATGGGTGGGTCGGTGTTCCACACCCAGTTTTTAGATACTGCGGCTTTGCCTGACATGCCCACTGCAGCCCGTCCCTCTCCTACAGCATGGATGCCCCTGCCTGTGGGACCATGGTCTTCAGTATGTATGGACCAGGTGTTTTCTGTACCACCAGGATCAAGGACAGAGCCACTCTTAGATGGCACCATTCTGGCAGGGAGTAAGCCCATTCACCTCACCACATTCTCTCCTTGGCACTGAAAACATGCCTGGTTCTGTCTCTTGCTAAGGTGTCTTTTGGTTGAGTTACTCAGCTGAAGCAAGTATCAGGGGGTCAATCTCTACTTCTCCTTAGAGGTCTTTCCATGCACCATGGCTTAATACGGTCTTCGAAGTTGTGTATAGTATTTCTACAGCAAAATGTTTTTCTCCTCAATATGTGTTTATGGATTCAAACTCCAGGGAAGGGTAACAGATTTTTAATGAAAACAGGCTTTGGTATTTTCACTGATTTCTCGTGAGATGACGGATGAAGGAGTTCCCAGGGATCCTAATTGTGATTGCCTCTGATGGTCACATGTAGAGAGCATCTCTCTAAATGAAATAACACAAAACTAATATGGACGCTATGCTTCTGAGTACATTCATAGTGTTAGGAAAAGAGCATTATGAACAACATGCAGGCTTTTGAGGATAAAACTGAGAGATGGGTAAAAAGAAGCTTCCAAAATCATCAAAGGACGAGCGCAGAAGAGAAAGGAACAGAATTCCTAGAGGCAGTATAAGGAGGTCATACAAGTTTCTGTTACAAATCAAATGACTGTTTTCTTCCAAATGTACAGTATTTGAAAGTCTAGACTTCTGAGATAATTAGTAATGGAGGATGCAAGCAAGCTCCGTGAACCATCAAAGAGGGATTGTAACCTCAAAGTTATAGACAGGGTTTTTAGACTTAAAGGCTCTGTGATAGGGGCTATCCATGGCCGTAGTCCTGATCCAAACTGTGTTGGACGGACAGTTAGGTATAACCTGCCGTAACTCTAGCTTATACCTGCAGCCTCGTCCACAGAGTAGTACCATTTAGATTCTCTGGACCTTCACGAGTGCTGGATGGCAGCTGACAGATTTGGAAAGGTACCACCAGAGAAAATGTGAGAAGTACACGAAAAAAATTTTAATTATTGGTAGAGAAGTCTGCCACCCTTTTTCAATCTTTCGTAGAAGCAATACTTGAAATATGGTAGCTGCAATTGAGACTGAGGCTCATCAAGCAGAGGTTGGTTACTGCTGTAGCAGGGCTTCCCATTTTTAACAAGCTCTTTTGGCTCTCCCTTTATCTTTTAATATCCACTGAATTTCTTACCTACCTTCTTGTCTTAATTTAGGGGGAAAGCTTTTACCTTAGCCATGCTTCAGACAAAGAAATGACGATATTCTGACTTTCAAAACTTTGAACCAGTCTTTTTATTTTAGTCCCAATAAGTTATTAAAGGAAGTCCCACTTAGAATCAAGTAGCATGACTGATAAGATGATAATCACTTAATCTCCTTATAGATTATTATATCATTTGGTCATAAATCTCTATTTTTAGTGCCGTTTTAGGATCTGTGGTTTAGGTCTGACATGGTTTATGTGCTAAGCCAATGGTCATCATTTTCAGTAGATGAAAGTTCGTTGTTGATGTTGCAGTATATTCTACTCTTGTATTTTGTCTTGAGTCTTAGTAGGAGTTGGGAGCTCAGGAGTAGCAGCTTTCAGGTACTGCAACTTGAGTTCCTGAGGTCAAGTGGGGACAATGACACTTAGTTCTCAGGGTTCCTGGGAGTATCGAACGAGGCAATGTGAGCCTACCCCTGGCACACAGAGGTGCCCAAATACCTGATGTCTGGTGGTGCGCTTGCCATGGCCGCCTCCGCAGCCATTGCAGTTGCTGTTGCACCCTTGTCGCTGCCGCAGTTGTAATTATAAAAAACAGAAAAATCAATTAATGTTTATTTCCCTGGCTGTTATTTAGTGCAAGCCCACTTTTATTCATAGTGTCCCAGGCCAAGCGGATGAGCAGTCATGCTGCACAGCCCAGTGCCAGCATGGATTAGGTACATGGGACCTGCAAGGGGAGAGAGCAAGAGACATGCGATAGAAACTCTGGGACGAATGGGGCTTCCTGTTTGCCCAAACAGCTTTGACTTCTGCCAGAAAGGGATGGGAAAATACAAATGAGGGAGGTAAAGAAGACAAAGTCAAGTTCAGCTGATACTAGTGCTTGGGAGAAGGAAGATTGCCTTTAAATCACGTGCCTCCTAGCAACCTCTAGACTTCCTGGAATTTTTCTAAAAATTTTCCAAATACCCTACAACAATTAACAGATTGGGTCTACTCCAGTTATGTAACCACTGTAGATTTGTTATTGCTGTGTAAAAGGGATAGTATGGAGATAAACTATTCGGTATTAAGATTGTTTCTGGGAACTCATAGCAGTTAAATATTTGTTTCTGAATCAGTTTTCAATTTTTAGTAGCATGTTAGTGTACATTAGAGTA